TTTTTTTTTTTTTTTTTTTTTTTTTTTTTTTTCAAAAGCAGTGATGGTATTCAAGTTTTCGCTGGCACAGCCAGGAATTGCAGCCAATCGATCCGACAAATACTGAGAAAGAGCTGAGCTCTGTCAGCCACTATACTAGCGTGGCTTCATGAGGCCGCTTGAGGTTGAGCATAACACAAGCACTGCGAGGTACCGAGAGGCGAACGCACCACCAGTATATTTCTCCAGTACTCTCTCTGCTTATTAAAATTCTTCAAAGAGGCTTGAATTGTTTCGGCGCACAGAACGAGTTTACAAGAAAGTACCCGGTGCTCCGGCATCTCTGACTGGCGCTGAAGCGCCCTTGTCTGACCCCACGTTAACCCTGGCTGTTAGAAGCCAACCCCATACGCCTGTGGCTTCTGAATTCCATATACGGATTGTAGCAGCACGGGAACGCCTGGAGACAGCACAAAAGCCCAAGGAAAGGAACGACGACACACTACGTTCAGCAGTAACTTTCAACACAAGATAACGAGCTGGGATTAATTAGCTATCATCTGATGCATCAACATAACAAAACTAACAAAGGTTAATGTATATTACTTCTCTCAGTTTCTTCTCCGAAATTTTTCTGTTCTGCGACCCCAGTAGAGCCGGCACTGCTNGTATATTACTTCTCTCAGTTTCTTCTCCGAAATTTTTCTGTTCTGCGACCCCAGTAGAGCCGGCACTGCTGTCTTTGAGGCTGGGAGACGAGACGGCGTAGCATGCTGCAACACCTTTTGCACCAGGTCTCATGCCAGCCTTTCCTATAGTCATACAAATATCACTTCGTGAAGAATGTTTAATATATTCATCAATGTTGTACTCAATGCACATCAATAAGCACTCACAGATACTTCTCTTGTTCATTCAACCCTCACTCTTCTCACAGCAACGAGCACGGCATTGTTGCCACGATTGAGGTGAGTCTTCACCACACTCGTGTCTTCAGCAAAACCCGCAGCTTCAAATCTTTCCGGCCCCAAAATCCATTATTTACGACCTTCTGCATCTAGCTTTTGTTTGAGTTTCGTCGCAGTGACTGAGATTGTTGGTGGTCCCTTGAGCTCCCGCCGCTCCCGCGCGACTTTGTAGAAGAGTATACGTGCTCTTTGGGTGGAAGGGAAGGCAGATGCAGCAGCATCGCCTTCTGTGAAGTAACCAATGGCCCAGGCTCTGCAGGAAGTGGTAAATGCAGCTGAGAGTATGAGTGGGCTTCCAGTAGCCAACAAATATGGATATATGCACGAACTTCAGGCACAGTCAGCATTTAATAGTTAACTAAGGTGTTCGTGCATTGCATCCAAACGCTGCTTGGGGATACTTGCCCTCGATATTATCTGTTCTGGCGACATTTAAAAAGGCAGTGCTGGACCGCCCCTCTCTCTCACCACCTATGGAAGCCTGAGCCGCTGTGTAGCATGCTCTGCCTTCGGTTAGCACAGCAGCCCTCACTTGGCTTTGGGGTGTAAACAAATGATAAAGTTCTAGAAAAGGATTGAGGGGTAAAGCATGCAATAAAGGAAGCTTTGTTGAAGCTTCCTTGTGTACACAAGTGAGGCTTGATTGTTTCACCAGCAGCAGCGAGGTGCACTGCAACCCCATTTTAGGCTGCCTCCTCCCCGCAATACCCAGGCCCTGAGCTCAACGCGAAGGAAGCCTGAGGACGGGGAAGGAGGTCAGCTGCTTTTGGGAAACTATTACTTTAAATTTTTACCTAGACGACAGCTCGCTGATGTCTGCGATTAAGGCCAGCGGGCAACCCTTATACTTCGTAGCACCGCATGGTTCATCGGGGCAGGTGTGGGCACGGTTTCCAATCCCCGCACGGATGGTCTCAAGCTTTTCTGCAGAAAAAGAAACCAAAAATAAAGTGAAACAATAAAATTATACCCAACTCCTTCTCTCAAACAAGATCTCTTCCAATTTCAGCTGTTTCCTTTCAGCTAAATGGAGGTTAATTATGATCCGCTCACAGAAAGGAGGTCGACGCACAATTTGGGGCCTCATCAAGCAGAAGCCAGCTCTACTTCGGTATCCCGTTCGGTGGAAATTGTATTCTCGCCAAAAACAATTCAGGAGGAACGCCTCCGGTTGTGCCGTTCTACGCGACATGGCGGGCGCCGGGACGCACAGGCCGTAGAGGAGTTCCTTTGTTCCCTAGACTTATAGCTTCGCCTACAAAATGCCCCGGAAGAATTCCAATTGTCTTTGGCGTCGTCCTTACCAGAAGGGGATGAACGGCGGTGGTGGCTACGTTTAACCAATGACTCCACCTTTCCGGAGCACATCAATTCCATGCAGGCCTTCCGTGATGCGGTGCATTGCCGGCTTATCCGGAGGCCTGGAAGGGACCAGGTCATGGCGGAATTGAGGAAACCTAAGCAAGGGAAGCTTTCGATAGAGCCTTACATTGAGAAAATGTCTGAGCCAGGGCCATTTTCGTAGATCTGGAGCTGCCCTATAATTGGTTTATCGCAGGGCTATCCTCCGGAGAGAGGCAATCAGTAATCGGCTGGGCTACGGACAGGGAAATGAGGGATGAGATTGTGGAACTCGCTGACATAATGGAGTACTTTCGCAGAAGAAAAAGAGAAAATGCCACTTCCACAGCCTTAGCCGAAAAGGAATATAGCGGATATGGGAATGATCCTGATTTGGAGTCTATGGATAGTGGGGCTGTGAGCGCCAGAGCAGCCAAAAAGGGAGCTAAGGGCAGTAACGGACAACAGTGAACTCAACAGCCAGGAAGCAAGAAGGTGATTCTGAATGGCGAACTTGCTTCTTTTGCAATAAACTGGCTCACGTTTGTCGAGATTTCTGGTTTATGAAAGACGCTAGGGAACAATTGAAGACAAATCTCGAACAGTGCTGCCAACGGAACTACCAGAACAACCGGGGGAACGCCCGGGCCCCCACGGAACGTGCAACGCAGTGATAGGGCCACATGAGATAACGGCCGCACCCACAGATCCACAGCGTGTCAATTGAGTGCTTGTGCAAGTATGCATTAGAGTTCAGGACTTACTAGCCCTACTCAATACGGGATGCGAAGTGATTCTAATATCGGAAGCCACAGCCAGCAAGCGCACCCTACCGGTCTACTCACTGGCAGAATCTCTGAGACTACCCTTCGGAGATGCGAGACAGGATGCAAGAATCAGCAGAACCATGGGCGTAAAAAGTTTTCTTAGTTTCAAGGCGGGGTACATTAATATGGAGAGCGACTTGTACGTTGAACCAGTTCACCACGAGATAATCCTAGGCATGCCGTCGGTGACCCAGTGGAAGACCCAAATGCGTTCCTCTGATGATAACATAGAGGCCTATCCACGAGGAAGCGATGCGAGTGTGCACCTCTCAGAGTTCCCGACGGTATTTGCATCTTCTATGCTCAAAGGAGTGGAAACGGTGCCCCAAACAAGGCGGAGCGACGAGGCTTGTATTGCACAGGCACTACAATGGATCCCTTGTGTGGCCTCTAGAGGCCTAGTATCATGAAGAGGAATAAACACTATAGAATATCTCAGGAAGTAGGACACTTTTAGATAGAAAAGGTGCATAATAGGATCAGAGTGCTCACCAGCCGGCACCGGCTTGGGGCTGGGTGTGACGCTGACGCTCTCACTCTGGCACTGACCCTGCGCGGGGGTCAGAGGCAGTTCTTTTATTCTGGACTTTCCTTTGGGGACATATAATATGAACTCCAATGTGTTTTGGTTATTTAAGGCGTTTAATAGTGGATTCAGCGAGAATCATGTGTTTAGGTAGCTAGATGCAGAGTGTGGGCTTAGTCAGAATAGCTTAGAGAACATACGTAATAAAAGCAAGGGCCGCTGTGCACTACAAGGGTCCTATGCAGTGCAGAGCCACTGAAGGAAACGAAGGATATACGCATGCACTCCGTCGTGAGGGTCTGGTAAGGACGGAAGTCTTGGGGGATTCGATCCATTTAACGCACGAGGAACGCCATAAGTGAGAAAAATTGAAGGAAGAGTTCTCAGATGCGCTCAATAGGAAAGCGCTACCGGTGGGCAGGCCACCCGCTGGACGCTCAGTGCACCCCATCGAACTCATTCCCGGCTCAGCCCCGAGCTTCGTCCCAAGGTACAGGCACTTCTCAGATCTTGAAGAGGAAATTGTGCTACAGGTGGAAGAACTTATAAAGGTTCGGCCGTCAACTAGCGCCTTTGGGCACAATCCCGTGTTGGCGAAGAAATGGGAAGGCAGGTGGCGCATTTGCGTCGAGTTCAAGCCTCCCAACAAAATCACGGTGAAACAGAAGTTTCCAATTCGCCGGATCGACGAATTCCTTGACCATTTACAGGGTTCAGCAGTATACTCAGCATTTGTCGTCGCTGAGGCATTTTTCTGCAAATCCCGATTCACCCGGAAGAGAGGCACAAGATGGCGTCCCTCCCCTTCACCCACAACCATCAATATTTTTGGATTTCGTGTTCCTGCAGCAGGGGCTGAACCAGGTCCAACTAAGGTCGAGGCGATTCAGAGGTGGTCGATCGCTGACCACACGCGAACGGAAGCACAGAAATTCCTCTGGCTCGTCTCATACTGCCGCAATTTCATTCCTGGATTCACTCGCATTGCTGCTTCTCTAATTGACCTTCTTAAGAAGGACAGCGAGTTCATCTGGACGGTGAATGAGGATGGACCCGCCCGGCGCCTCATCGACCACCCGACTTCATCCCCCGTACTCACGCTCCCTGATCCTGACAGACCCTTTCTCCTCACGACCAATGCCAGCGACACTGTAGTCGGGGTTATGCTCTCTCAGCAGGCTAACGGCTCGGAAAAGCAGCAAATAGCTGCTTGCTACTCACACCGTTCTACAGAGGGAGCGAAAGTATCCGGTTCCTGAGAAGACGGTCTACGCGGCCTGATGCGGTGTAAAGAGGTGTGGATACTACCTATATGGTAGGCACTTTCCCGTCCAAACCGATCATAAATCCCTGACACACCTGACAAAGAGCTTTCAAGAGTATGATGCCGAAAGAGTTGTTCGGGGGCACGCAGCACGACTTCACTGTCAGCTGCATCAAGCGTATCACCAATACGGTCGCGGACGCACCCTCCAGACGTCTTACAGATCGGGCACAATGCTCCGCGACTGCGCGTCTCTGTGATGATTCACGTTTTATCTCCAAATTGCGTTCTTCTTATTCCTTAGATACTCATGAGGCTGCGCTCCTAGCTAACCTCAACCATGGGAGACGGTTCAAGCACCCCAACATTGATGGCGATTGCCTGTTGTTCCCAAACGAAGCGTGGAGTTCGCCGGTTGTACGTTCCAGCTTCGCTTCGTAAGTTTTGTGCAAAATGCATGATCACGCTTTACCCTGTCATGATGGGGTCAGTACAACGGCAGAGCGTGTTGCCAGGTCCTGCTGGTCGCCTGAGATACGCCTCCCAGTCGAGGAATATGTCCCGTCTTCTCCCAGCTTCCAGCAACAAAAGCCGCGGAACACCTGCACACCCGGACTCCTGCAAAGCCCTCCAATACCCAAAAGGATCTGGAAGGACATCTCAATAGATTTCATAGTAAGCTTAACCCCAGTTAGAGGCCACGATAGCATCTGTGTCGTTGTGGATCGGTTTAGCAAACACGCTCATTTTATTCCCTGCTCGAGCACAGTTACAGCGGAAGGAGTGGCTCAGCTACTCCGACTGGCTGCCGGTGGGGCCTTCTAGATGTCTTATCACCCACTATATATCGACTCCTATGACCAAGCGCCAGTATTTCGGCGCGGGAGCAGCACACGCAGGAGAAGGAGCAGCGGGAGGCAGAGCAGCAGCAACGGCGACAGCACCACCGGCAACTGCAGATAATGTACCAAACATCCTATCTTCAATCGATACATCTGCACACTCAGGGATGGGCTTTTCGTCCGAGGTGGAGGCAAATGTAGCAGGATCTGCCTGCAGCTAGCACAGGAGCCTTCCTTTAGCCTTTGTAGGTTGCGTTCATGCAAATGCAAACTTTATACAAGTGTATTCAGAGGTAAAGCACACAGTGACTGAAGCTTTCTTGTCTGCACGGGTGAGGCTAGCTTGCTTCACCAGCCGCAGCGACGCGTGCTCCAGCCCCATTTCAGGATGCCTCCTCCCAGCAACACCCACGCCCTGACTTCAACGCCCACGAAGCCTGAGGAAGAGGAAGAAGGCAAGCTGCTGCTGCGAAAGTCTTAGTTTAAGTCATTACTTACATTGCAGCTCACTTCTGTCCGCGACTAAGGCCAGACAGCAACCGTTATACGCTGTGGTTGACACGCCGTGAAACTAAAGGAGAACGCAAGTGAATCTGGGGAAGATCCTATCCTACGCACTGTCTTTCCATTTCTACTCACGATGGCACTACGCGGGAGAAAAGTCTCTCCACAGCAGGTGTGCAAGCACCAATAAGGATCTTCTCCCAAATGCCCAAATGCCGGAGGGTTTTCGCGCGCCTGCATATTGATGCGAGATACACCCTTACAGTCACAACAAGAGGATGGAGCCTTGGAAATTCCTGGATAACCCGTATTTTTCCCCTTCAAAACGCATAGGAACAGTATAAGATCTCTCAGGCGCCATTTCTGGACTCTTCTGGGGCTCCTTATGAAGCTTTGAAAACACCAAGGGTCCGTCGGCAAGCCGAGAAGGGTTTGGCGCAAGTGAGGGCGGCTGACAATGAGATCGTCAATGGTACAGAAATGTACAGTTTAGTATGCTCAGCTCATAAACCAGGCATATTTACCGTGTTTGGTTGGTAGAGAAACACACATTTGACTTATATATTTGGTGGACGCGTGGGCATGGCAGTGCATCTGGAACGAATGGGATGCCGAATTTCGTCCGCTGTCTGTTACTGGAAGGGAGCAGCACGGCGAAATATTTCACTCAGTTCGGCCGTGGCGGCGCGATGCTACTTCAGCAGGTTTGCATGGCACACCCTGAGCCTTGCTGCTTCCCCCCTGCTGGCGAATCTTTCCATCCCTAGCACTAAATGCTACGCGATGCTCCATATTGAACAGTCGAAAGATGCAGTTGTGTAGGTGACTTGAATTTCACGTATCAAGCCAATAATCTGATGGGTCCGTCAGTTGCTTCTGCTCTCTAGCTTGTCTCTCTATACTGGTTTTTAATGCGAATGGTGTCTGAATACCTTTGATTTAAACCAGGCTAAGGGGGAGAACGCACAACAGCTTGTTGAATTGTTGCCACTTTCCCTAACCTAAATGCATTTATACTTCAGAAGAAACATCCGCGTCACCGTTGAACATTCTGTGGACTTTGTGTTGCACAACTTATCTTTTTGTTCCATAAGGAGACCAACAAAACTCGAAAGCAGCTAAGGCAGAAAGAGTGAAGCCTCCCGACTAGTTGCGACGTTTAGTGCTGATCAAACATGCAGACATCGGAGGGGATCTATACCCTACACACGGTAGTTGGATGACGAGTCACGTTGTCAAGCGGCGTGACAAAACTGCTTGCCGACGTGGCTCGGCTTCACGTACTGAACTCACAACAACTTTACCGTTAAGTGAAGGCTTAGATGGAGATATTTTGGCTGTCCCGATACTCACTGCTTTTTGTTCGTTGGTTTTGATTGTAAGCCCGGGTGTCTGGGGGATTGCCTGAGTATTGATATTCACCAGAGCTTTTACTTTGTATATTCAAAAAGTAGAATGCAAGCACAGACAGCTCTGTGGCTGCAAGTTGAACGACGGGTAAGAAGCGCTTACAGTAGCCACGGTAGGTTCACAGGATGCTGATTCCTCTAGGGGCTTAAGGTATAGACTATAACGAGCGAGTTAGGTGACAAAAATATTTAAATTCTGGGAATGAAAGAAGTCTATTTCATTGGTTTTGTAGCAGGACAAAGAAGGGCAAAGGGACGTCGAGCTAGGGCTCGATGTCCAGCTATCCTGGGGGACTGGAATGCTGAAGGAGTTAATGGTTATGTTATTTACTACCGCCAAATACGATGAGTAAATGAAAGCAAAAATGTATTGGTTGCCTCTATAAACTCAAACAAATATAAAATACACTAGCAACAGGGCCCCTCACGTAGGCCGACTACTGCTGCTGCTGCTGCAGCGGTCAGGCGGCTGTAGGCGGATCGGTAGGCGGCTGTTTGTTCGTCTCCGGAGCATTCTAGGGGCTTCTAGAGGATCACACCTCTTTAAAAGGATTTCAGTTGATTGAATTGATAGTTTTAGCGGCAGAAGAGCCCTATATACCCCATACAAACCCGGGCGCCTGACGACGGGAAGAAACCTTACAGAAACACTCCTCGTCCAACGAGTCGATCGCGTCGTGCATGTGTGTCTTCAGGTGTATAGGCAGCTTATATCTTTGAATTTCAGAGAATTTTTCTTGAATGCATTCTGACGGTAACACCTAAAGGGCTGAAAAGCCCCCAAGAGCCCACCTCGAGCCGTCGAGGCCCTCCCTCCCCCGTATTGTCCTCCAGCAGAAGCTTCTATTTCCCCGAATTTATTTGAACTTGTAATTATTTTGTTATTTCGACTGAGTCCATGTGGTGCACTGAAGGAAGGCTGTGGGATCGCAGGCCGGGGATCCATTTCGGTACAGCTGTTTATGAATTCTCTCCATAGGAGGACCATTGGACTCTTACAGAAAGCATTTGATTCTCCCGCTTCTCAACACAGCTGTAGGCACCATATACTCAAATGTGGTTCTTCTCAGGCGCCGAGGAGAAGCCCGAGGCCCCGGCGGAGGAGGCGCAGGGGGACCCTTCCTCTACCCAGCCAGACACAGACCCCCAGCAGCAGGCTTCTGATGAAAGCAACGAAACCCCAGCACAAGAAGAGCCAGAGGCGAGCTCGAGTTCCTCCGCATGGAATATCTGGGGGCAGCTGGCTGGAGCTACACAGACACCAGGAGGGGCGGAAGAGGCGAGTGGGAGCGTCAGCTCAGCAACCAGCTCTGACAACGAGAGCGTAACAGAGCCGCTTCATCTGTCTTCGATTGAATCTGCAACAAGCAGTGGNCAGCAAGCATCGGGGTGGAGCCTGTGGGGACAACTGGTGGGTCAGCCAAGTGCTGACGACGCTTCTTCTGTTGCTGCTCAGTCTGATATTTCAGCCGATGTAGAGCCTGCAGGGGAAACAGCAGAGTCAGAAGAGCCCGAAGCTTCAACCGAGCAGCCTGCATCGACAGCTCCTGCTGCTGCAGCTCCAGGCGTCTTCGGCTGGGGTCTGATAGGCGACGCGGCGTCCTGGATGCAGCCCCAGTCAGCAGCAGAGGAAGCAAAGGCACCAGCTGCTGCAGAGGAGGGGGATAAAGGAGAAAGAACTGAGAAGGAGAGCGAGGCATCATCGGGGCCGGGCAAGTCAACAGAACCACCGCCCCCCCATGCAACACAGGATGATGGCGACGCACACTCTCCGCTCACCAGCAGCCGCTCCAGCAGCAGCAGCAGCGATGAAGACAGCAGCGGCTCAGAGATTGAGGAGGCGAAGGGGTCTCACAAGAAAGCTGCATCAGCAGAGAGAGAAGAAAAAGAACAGAAAGCGAAGGATTCTTCTGTTTCTGACGATGCAACTAAACAAAAACAGGATACAGATAGTGATACAGAGACAGATAAAAGTAAAACCCAAATTCAATCGAAGGGGCCCAGACCTACAAAAGCCAAACCCAAGCCTCCTTCATCTATAAAGGTTGGAAAGCAGCAGCAGGAGCCC